AAAACATCAGTTAAGTTTTTGGGTTGTCTTATTACTGCTGAAGGCATTAAACCACTTCCCGATAAAGTTGAATCAATATGTAATTTTCCGAAACCTGATACCATTATGGAACTTCGGCGTTTCTTGGCAATGCTCAACTTTTATAGGCGTTTTTTAGCGAATGTAGCTGAACTTCAAGATCCTCTTAATAAAATGCTTTCAAACTGTAAGAAAAACGATAAACGTCCCGTACCTTGGAATCAGGAAGCTGAACTCGCATTTTCGAAATGTAAATCCGCGTTAGCTGACGCTACAACTCTTGCGTATCCCGTTCCTGACCAACAAATTAGTCTCATGGTTGATGCTTCTTCCGCTGCAGTTGGAGCAGTTTTAAATTGTTCAACCCCCGACGGGTTCAAACCGTTAGCATTTTTCTCCCGTAAACTGAGTGCAACAGAAACCAAATATAGTACTTACGACAGGGAACTTCTAGCTATCTACACTTCAATTAAACATTTTCGGCACCAGCTAGAAGGACAAAATTTTATTATATTTACCGATCATCGTCCCTTAACTTTTGCATTTACAAAAAATTCTGACTCTTGCTCCCCACGACAGCTCAGACATCTTGATTTCATTTCTCAATTTTGTACAGACATTCGGCATATATCCGGTTCTGAAAATGTCGTTGCTGATGCCTTATCGCGAATCAATGAATGAAAAGTCCTGACATTTGAGGATCTAGCTAAAGCGCAGGTAACTGACACCGAGCTGCAAAACTTGCTGAAAAACAACGAAAACTCGCTTCAGCTGAAAGTCGTCACCATACCAAGCCAATTGAAACTTTAGTGCAACATTGAAAAAGACAAGCTGCGTCCCTTCGTTCCTGTTGCCTTTAGAATATTAGTCTTCGACTAGCTGCATAACCTGTCTCACCCTGGCATCCGAGCTACCAAGAAGCTGATTCTAGATCGCTACGCGTGGCCATCAATTGCAAAAGATGTTGTCACTTGGACTCGGGCTTGTGTGGACTGCCAGAAATCTAAAGTCTTCAAACACACCCGTAGTCCGATACAACCTTTTGTTCAGCCATCTCGTCGATTCGACCACGTCCACGTAGACCTCGTTGGACCCCTGCCACCTTCTGAAGGCTTCTCATATCTCCTTACCTGCATCGACCGTTTTTCAAGGTGGGCAGAAGCCATTCCTGTGGGTGACATAACAGCTGAGACTGTGGCACGCGCATTTGTGTCACAGTGGGTGTCCAGATTCGGTGTTCCATCTATCGTCACAACGGACCAAGGGAGACAATTCCAGTCCTCCCTTTTTACATCTTTAACAAGATTGCTTGGGGTTAAACATATTAGAACTACCCCCTACCACCCTGTCAGCAATGGCATGGTAGAGCGTTTTCATAGCTCGCTCAAGCAGTCTCTCAAGTGCCACAACAAACTTAAATGGACTGAATCCCTACCTATAGTTCTCCTGGGACTACGCTCTGCATTCAAAGAGGACTTAAAGTGCACTTCTGCCGAACTTGTCTACGGTATGACACTTCGTCTCCCAGGTGAATTCCTAGCTCCTACATCAAATAGTGACGAACCTTACCCGTCCGAGTTAGTTTGTTAATTAACTGAAGAACATGATGCAGTCTCTAGCTCCAACCCCAGCATCATCACACAGCGAGCCAGGCTCGTTTGTCCACCTTTCCTTTGCGAGCTGCACCCATGTTTTTGTCCGTCATGGTGGTGTTAAGAAACCACTCCAAAACCCCTATGACGGGCCTTTTCAAGTCATAGAAAGAGCTAAAAAATTCTTAACCATCTCCATCAACAAAAACCGACAACTATTAGTGTTGACCGTTTAAAACCCAGTTTTTCTGTGAACTTCGACAAAACCAGCACAACAGAAAGTGTTTCCAAAGCATCCGTTCCTATCTCCAGACCTCCTTCCCCAGAGTCAACTTCCAGCATGGTAAATGCTGAAACGAACACTGTTTTGCCAAAGACANTTCGCTTTAAATTATTAAAAAAAAATTAATTTCAAAGCATCCAATCTAAATTACAGAGCGAAAATAAAAAGTGATTTGTTTACAAAATATTGGAGTGAAAATAATGCGCCAAATCAAATGCATGTGATTCTTTTAAAAAACTATAAAAATATATGAAATTTTATTTCAATATGAAATTTAATTATAATGAAAATACCTCTATATGTGAACTACATTATAATCTATCATTTAAAAAAAAAGTAGTAGCAATTTTACGAGTTGAAAGCTGATTAAATTCACTCTATAATCTTCCGTGCTAACATATAAATTGCAAATAAATGTCTAAAAACGAATATAAGGGAATTAAAATCTTATTTGTGAAATGTAAAAAGTCCTCCTTTTATGAATTTTTTTTTTCACATTCGTATGCGCAACAGTATGCGACTATTTTTGATTGAATATAGTTCAGAAATCTACTTCCATAGTTAGATACTGTAGATAGGGTTTACTTGAGGGAAAATCGCCTCTGAATCACGTGACAACGTTCTTTGAAACAAGGAAAGTGGCTCTGGTTCTCTATATGTAAATCACTACTCTAAGATATGAATGCAATACGATATTTTCCCCTTTCTTAATATTTTTTGTATGTCAAAAAAAAATAATTTAAAACTTCCACGACGCTTTCTTTTAAACCTATGTTTAGTGCAGTTTTCAGTTCCATATAGGTTCTTAATTTAAAAGTTTTTAATTTATTTGAAAATCAAGACTGAAACTAACGCAATTCATTCTCTTATGACTCCCCATATGCTAATGGTGAAGAGTGGCTATAGGTAGAAAGTTCTGCTCTACGCCTGTAGCCCATTTCGATTG